CTTTTCTTTACTACAGGGCTATCTCACGAACTACAGGCACAGCGTCTTTGCAACCCGGGAGCGTAGCGACGGTTCTACGAATCCGTCGCTATCTCTCTAATCAGTGGCTGGACGAGTTCAGGGAGTGACTTCAACGAGAGAGTCAATTTGGTCGTGCCGCTCCAATCGATGGGCTGCAAGCGCTTTCATCAGAAGCAGAAGGACACATGAGTCTTTTCTTTTGTCGGTTTCCTTCCCCTCCTTTGTTTAAAGCACGCCTCAACGTTGGCGAGTACGTCCACGGGTTCAGACCACTCAAGCTGTTCAGCCGCATATCATTCTTCAACAAAGCTGGAGGATACATAAGTTCTTTTGGCTTTTTCCTTTTGATTCCGCTCTCACACTTTATTTTAGGAAACCATCACATCATCGTGCACGGACGAATCGACATAGTCGTTTGTCGACCCTCGAGGGCAGCCCATGGCGAGCCCGGAGTGTAACAACGGTTCCACGGAGACGTTTTTACTTTTCTGGGCGAGTCGTGGTAGCTTAGAGAGAAGAACGTAATGTGCTCATGGAAAATGATTAAGAGGCGTGATTCACGGCGACTGCTGTGATGTCATCGAAGTTTGGGACAATTTCGTAATCTGCCCGCTCCGTGAGCGGTCGCTATTGGCACCCGTCTGTTATGATTCGATTAGTTCACTTCTAGTCGTTCTACTTCTCATTATATTCTCATTTTACCACTTGCTAATGAAGCTCATGGCATTGTGAGCGAAGCTCACAGCTATGGCGGTGGACCAAGTCCTATGGGTTCTGTTTGGCCCGCCACTGGGTATGGGATCCAGTCCATGTTTATAGTCCACGATAAGAATTCCGACCGGTAATCACCCAGTGGCTCACACCCTCGGCGATTGAGTCCTGCTCGGGGCAAGCATAACTGCATCCCGAGGTCAACCGCCTAGGCAAGCCCCGCATATCTTAGCTTACATCATCAGCTCACTTCACTCACTAATCAACCCTCAGTTTATATCGTTCCACTTTATCACTACGTACTTAGTCATATCGCAGTATCATCGTTTTTATACAGTTATGCGTCTTTATTATTACTATGTTCTTATTGTACTATTATTGTACTTATGTATATATTTTTTTAGGTTGTCTTGTTTCTCTAAATAATAAATATGATATTTACTCGAGTCATCACCATCACTAGTCCTCAACGGCAAAACACTCATCTGTCAGCTCAATAAAGCAAATCACTGGCATCGGTGGGCACTATCCTCGTTGCTATAATCTTCATTTTAGCGCAGATGAGAGCCAGAGTGCGAAAAGCACCAAGAGACGCTTCTCTTCAGAAACACGCGTGATACGCCAATAAGGAATTGCACAACCTGCCAGCGAGCATAAATCCACGTCGAAACTCGCAAAAACGTTGCAGTGGAAGGATAAAAGGATGTGTTAGAAAAGAAGAACAGCAGATGTCGTTGATGCTGTAGAAGCTTGGAACAGCGCTAGCAAACCTCACCGAAGCTGCATCAATTACAAAACCAAGACGATTGCAGCCTGGCGCTATGACGCAACAGTTGAGGAAGGAAATAAAGAAGATTATTCACGGTGTTGAATGCCTCATTATTTACGTTTTTTGTCCTTTCTTTTTTCTATAATTTTGCGCCAGTCCAGGCACTCCGGACCACACGACCGACGTCGCTGTTGTTCCCAAGTTCTACACGGGATCAGACCATCGCCTCCTTCGCGCAACGTTCCGATTTTCGAGGAGAGGAGAGAAAGCCGCTAAATACAAACAACGAAGTCCCAGAACTATTATAAACTGAGATGAATTCAAATCATTAGTCGGCTCTTGGGAAGATACCGTTGTCGACAACATCGACGAAGAATACGATCGACTCGTTGAATATCTTCACGTTGGCGCTAAAAAAGCCGAAAGTCCTAAGGTCACGAAGAGACGCTTGTCTCCGCAGACACTCGAGCTGATACGTCAACGTGGAATCGCACGAGCCGCAGGCAACCGAAACCTTACGTCCGAACTTGCGAAACGATGCAGAGAAGCGATAAAAGAAGACCTTAAAGAGAGAAGAGCAGCAGTTATGGCAGAAGCTGCAGAAGCTGGGAAGAGCATTCGCAAAGCCCAGCGAGGCTTCGCCAACTATAAGACCAAGATGATTGCACTCCGATACCCTGACGGGACACTTACAGCTTCCAGAAGGGCTATGGTGAAAATCATCCACCAGTACTACTCGGATCTCTTCGCTAGCCATGTTCTCTTACCGTCATATAAATTGAAAGAGGACGAATATGTCGTTCCACCGGTCCTTCCTTCCGAAATCCGACATGCTATATCGTCGGTGAAAAACAGAACAACACCCGGTCCAGACAGGATTAGACCAGAACACCTGAAGAACCTACCGCCAGTTCTCATCAACACCCTGGCTCGGCTCTTCACTCGCTACCTGTCAGAATGCAAGGTCCCTATTCAATGGAAAACCAGCAAGACCGTATTGTTGTTCAAAAAGGGAGACCTTCACGACATAGGCAATTATCGCCCAATCTGCTTGCTGTCCGTTGTCTATAAACTCTTTACTCGAGTCATCCTGAACAGGATTGACAGAACACTGGACGAAGGACAGCCATGCGAACAAGCAGGGTTCAGAAAAGGATTTAGTACCATGGACCACATCCACACGATCACAAGACTCATTGAAGTTACGCGAGAGTACAAACAACCACTCTGTCTCACTTTTATCGATCTGAAGAAAGCCTTTGACTCAGTGGAAACAGAAGCGGTTATAGAGGCTCTGGATAACCAGGGCGTCCCTACTCGGTACATAATGATCCTTCGTGAGCTTTATAAAGATTTCACGACCAGAATATCTCCATTCTACAATAATATCACCATTGACGTAAGAAGAGGGGTTCGACAAGGCGATACAATATCGCCAAAACTATTCACTGCCACCCTACAAAACGTCATGCGAACATTAGAATGGGACGAAATGGGAGTGAAAATTGACGGTCGACAATTAAAGCATCTTCGCTTTGCTGACGATATCGTTCTCATAACACCAAACATCAGCCAAGCGGAACGAATGTTGACTGATTTCGATAACGCCTGTGGAAAGATCGGTCTTCAACTGAATCTAACGAAAACAATGTTCATGAGGAACGGATGGGTTTCTAATGCCCCATTCACGCTCAACGGAACGACAATTTCCGAATGCTCCAGTTACATCTATCTAGGTCGTGAAATCAACATGATGAACGACCTAGCCCCAGAGTTGAGCAGGAGGAAAACGAGCGGCTTGGGGAACGTTTAAGAGCATCGAAGATGTAGTGAAGAGGACAAAGAATATCCGACTCCGTGCCCACCTTTTCGACTCGACAATTATCCCTGCCCTAACGTATGCAGCAGAAACCTGGTCGCTACGTAAGCAGGATGAAAGATCACTTGCCGTTATCGAACGCGCAGTCGAAAGGTCGATGCTAGGAGTATCTCGTATTTCGCAAATGAGACAAAGGATCCGAACTTCCGACCTACGTCAACGATCGAAAATCAGAGACGCCGTTCTACACGCCAGGATATCGAAAATAAGGTGGGCCGGACACGTGATGCGCTTCAACGACAACCGATGGACGAGAGCCGTTACCGACTGGATTCCTCGGGACGTCAAGCGCTCTAAAGGAAGACCACTGACCCGTTGGTCCGATTTCTTCACGAAAGCGATGGAAGAAAGATATGATGCTCAGCGAATTCCTAGAGCAAGGAGGACCCACTGGGCTACTCTTGCACGCGATAGGGAAAAATGGAAGAGTTGCTGGTACCCGCTCGAGTCACTCGACGATCAACGGGACGACAGGTGATACAGGTGATTCACGGTGTTACTCTGATCTCTTCAGTAACCATTTTAGTTTACAGTTTTAGAAAATGAAAGATAACGATTTGTCCTTCCATCGGTTTTCCCTTCTGATATCCTACTTGCCATGTTATCGGTGAGAATGGAACAACACTTCGTTCAGATGGGATAAGAAGTCCGAAACACCTGAATAATCTGTCGCCAGTTCTTGTCATACACTGACTTGACTCTTTATTCGTTATCTTCTAGGAGGCCATGTTGTTAATTGATGAAAAATGATCAAGACCGCTCTACTACTCGAAAGGGCGACATTCGCGATATCGGGTGCTGTCGGGCAATTGGCCTGCTGACTGTGTCTATCAGCTCTTCCCTTGAATCATCCTAAACAAAATTGCGAGTATAGTGTGCAAAAGATAGCAAGCGGAACGAATTTTGACCGATTTCGACAAGACTTGTGGAAGGATTGGTTTCCAAGTGATTCTCACGAAAACGATTTTCGGCAGGAAGGACTGGTTATACCACATTTACTCTAAGCAGAACGAGTGTCTCCTCATGCTCAACTCATGCCTATAATATTCTGACAGGCAATATGAAAGTGGCTTAACTCCAGTGCTGAGCAGGAGGAAGCAAAATATCAGTAGAGCTTTCAAAGGTCATCGAGGTTTGAAGAACAAAGTACACTTTACTCCTTGTTCACCTTCTCGAATCATCGATTCTGTCTGCCCTGATATATAATAAAAAACCTGGTCCCTAAGTAGACAGGATGGAAAAGCGCTCAGCGTTATCGGACGTACTATAGAAAGTTGATGCTCAGAGTATTTGTTGTCCCGCAGGAACGGAAAAGGATGCGATGATCTGATCTACACTAACAATCGAAAGTAGGATGCCATCATATCCGCCATGTTATCAAAGATGAGGTAGGCCGAACATGTAACGCGTTGTAATGAAAACAATGGATGAGAGTTGGATTACTTGAACTGTCAAATAATGCACAATATGAAAGTCCATGTCTGATTTCATTGAAGTAAAATTAGAAAAGAAATATGATGTATCAATAATCAATCAGAAATTATTTTTATTTGACCGCCACTTGCGCTGTCATGATGTGTGCAATATACCCAATAATGTCGAGTGCTGTGCAAAAACGTTTGCGTCAGCCGGGATTCCAACCCAGATCTCACCCTTTTCGGGAGCGCACTAACCGTTGCCCCACCAACGCTCGTTTAGCATACATATACAATAAGGCAGGGGTAACCGTTGTGCTGAGAAGGTGGGCACGGAGTCAGATGTTTTTTGTTCTCTCAATTACATTCTCGACGCTCACCAAAGCTTCCTTACCCGCTCGCTTCCTTCTGTATATCTCTAGAGAGAAGTTGCTCATCCCACTGGTATCCCAGAATAGATAGATGTAATTGGTGTATTCGGAAATTCTTATTCCACTGAGCATCTATAGAGATGCGAAACTGGTCCGTTTCCCATAAGCTTCTTTTTTGTGGAAGTCAAAGCTAGGTCGAAAACTCGTTCTTCCATGAGCGTTATCGAAGTCGGCTAGCATTTGTACCTGCTGACAGAATAATGGTAGCAAACGAGGCGAAATGGTGTAATTGTCGTTCAATGAATTCACTCCTATGTTGTCTCATTCCAATGTTCGCATGGGGTTCTGCAGGATGACAATGAATAATTTTCGTGAGATGACATCGCCTCGTGGAACCTCACTTTTTACGTCAATAGTGATATCGTTACAGAGTGGTAACTTTTATGGTGGCAAACTCAAAAAACATAAAAAAAACAAGCAAACAAAAAAAACATAAAAAAACATAAAAAAAACATAAAAAAATAAATAAATAAATAAAAAAATAATAAATAATAAAAATAAAAAATAATAAAATAAATAATAAATAAATAAAATAAATAATAAATAATAAATAATAAAACATAAAAAACATAGTTCACAAAGAACGTGTAACATGTAGCAATGCAAACAATTACTATCAAAATCAATTTTATAGGGAAATGAGCTGCTGATCTCTCGTTCTCCGAATCCACGTATATCTATCGTGTATTAATGATCTGTGGCATGTTAAGCTAGACCTACAGAAGATGACAGATTAGGAATAAACGTCCATAGGGTCTGCTGCTGTATTTGATTACGTTATAGTAATGATATCGTGTTGTTCACTGTGTACCTTCCATATCCGCTATCAAAGCAGAATTCGCATAAGGCGGACTTCGATTCGTTTCAACGGTCTTAACGGCCCACCTTGTTGGACAATAGTATTGACGTCGACTAGGACGATTAGGACGATTCCACGTGAATCGAACGGCATCTGTCAAATTCTACTACTTAAGCGGAGCCAGCATGATTATATCAGAAAGGTTGAACGTCGTGCCATACACTCCCTTACATCGATGACCTGCCACTAAAGCAAAAGTTAGTTCATAAAATCTCTAGATAGTGCTTCATTCCAAAATATCAAAATTGTGTCACTGAGAGAGATGGTGAACAAAGAAAATTAGCAAGGTTTTCAATGTTTCAACCTCACTATTTCATGAACCATCCTTTGAAAAAATAAAGGTTGTTCAATCAAAGTCATCAGCGTGTTACCACTACACCACCGACGGCACCGATATGCTACCAATCTCTCTTCTATATAAACTATCGAAGTTATCACTACGAACATTTAACGGTAAGAACAAAGAAATCTTACGTATGATACATACAATTTATTGTAGAGGAAGTCCTGTCGTGTTTTCAAAATGCACACAAAAATTTATTTGTACACAATGAAACTCAAATAAAAGACAAACTAATAGTCGAAGTAGTCTCCTTTCACGATAAGACAATTCAGCTACATATCCGGCAGCAAAAAGATTCCGAGCCAGTAAAATTCGAGATCCTTCGCTTTGAAGAAAAAATTTTGGTTGACTTCGGAGACATTTTTGACTTGCTTTTCAGATAAGCTCTATCTAATGGAATAAGTGGTAGTCACTCAATCGGTCAGTCGGTTTCCTCTTTTCACGGAATGTCTTTAACCAACGCTGAGCTGTATGATCATCGCAAATGTCGTCATCAACGCCTTGCAGATTTGTAGATGAGTCTCAAAAACGTCGACACCGAGTCATAGTGGAAGTGGAGCAACAGACGAATTTCTTCCTTGGACAGTTCCACTTAGAAGGCAGTGTAGACAAGTAATATATGAACACGAGCTTTCCAATGAGCTCAATTCGTGCAAAATACATGTGTAAAAATCATCTTCTCAGGCAATGCAGCAGTACTTCTTTTACGACCTATTTTACAGCTGTCAGCTTCACTGGGTTTAGTGTAGATATGTGCTTATCAGGCTGAACCTGTTTAAGATTAGTAGCTGATGACTTCGATAGCTTATATCGAAGAGGGAGTGCTAGCATAGTGGTGGCTTCAGTGATGTAGTGGTAACAAGAGTTCGGAATGGGTGAAACGCGAGTTTGGCTCCCACCTTGGATCGAATGTTTTGCTTGCCGCTGATCATTCTTAGATGAAGTAATCAATGTCAATAATCTTCAATGTCTCTTTGACATCTCTCATTTCCTCTGTTTTTCTTTTTGAGACTTTTTACCGACACTCTTCTTTTCTTAACCGAGAGCAGCCAGTTGCATTCGTACGATTTTCGGATACGTAACAGTAGAGACTAATGTCACCTTCTACAAGTTATGTAGTCCTTCTCACCATTTCTGGAATATACTGAAGTTGAAATTTGATAATTTCGATTACCCATAATTCCTACATCTATCCATCTAATAGAATCTGATTTATCATTAACTTTTTCCAGCCAAGTTTGGTTTCTTTTCAAACCACAACGTACCGCATGTTCACTACAGTGCAAGAGGACAAGGTAATCATGTCACTTTAAAGCGATTTCACGTGCTTAACTTAAATAAGTTTTTAGCGATTTTCATATTCTGTGCGCCGAACAACCAGACGATGATAAAAATTCAGTTCATCGCGTCTAAGCTGGTTGATTGTAAATCAATGATTCCAATGCGACGCTGTAATTGGACGATACGCCATGGGATAAAAACACGCACTAAAAAATTTTATGGCACCCATCCGTCGGGCCATTTGTCCATTAGAATATAGTGCTAGAAAAACAAACGGGGATGTTTTTGTAGGCGTGTTTTCCTCTGTTCATGTACGGATCGTCATTAATTGTTTATGGAAGTGGACGACAGCCACTTCTACTTCATAGAGATTTTCATAAATTTTCGTGAAGAACTTTGAGTATCAAATTTGTGATCTTCATTTGTGTATTTTAAATCTTGAGAAATGCAGTCGCTAACTGCTCATATCTATCGGCTATCATTCCCACACATTATTCGTCTGACCAACCTAATCTCGGCAGTTACGGTATCTCTTATTCTCAATCTCTAGAATAGATCGGAGGCAGATAAGTCCGTTGAAGATAAAACGAGAAATGAGGTGTAGCTGAAACCACTAATGATATCCTCTATTTATGTTGAACTAATGGAGACAATTGAGCACAACTTTGACAATGCCTTCTGAGCAGAAACATTATTTACCCGGCTTATCCACCGGAACTTGAGAAAAGAATAAGCGATAGTTGAACATAATCACAGGTGTGTAAAAACATTTGCCTCATAAGTATTAAAATAAAAGCATAATTGCGTGATGTCAGCACTTCTTGCATTACATTCACTTCTTCACATCCATCAGCCGCAGCGATCTTTCAAGTTGTTATGTGCGGATACGGGTGCTACGTTAGGATTTTCCTTCCGTCATGACCGTCGTAAAGTGCTGGATAAGTGGATTCTTCTTGACTGCCCGGGATAACTGGGCTAGAACACTGTCATTTCAAATGCAGAGAGTAAACTTTCCTGATACAAGTCTGAAATCGATGTCCTGATCTCGAAGGGATGAGAAAGTGAGTCGCTGAGTCAAACCAACACTGTGCTCGTGGTATTCGCCATCACTACCACTGCATTATCCGCCCTCAACTCTCCTATTATATAAGGTTCGGAAGAAAGTTTTGGAGCACTTGGGAAAATTGAAAATTTACGCATGAATTCCAAACAAAAACAATAGTAACAGTAATTTTTCAAAATAAAGGTCGTCTTCTTCTACAGCTTTCTGACATCGGTCCGCCAGGTTTCGGATCTATTCGAAGTACCATTATCTCGACTTCGAGTTAAAACTCCCTTTCTCCTATAATAACGCAATGAATTACAAACTTCTGTATCGTTGGACATGGCGGAGGCCAGTAACAGAGTGAAAAAAAAGCCGAATAACATCTAAACCTGCAATGGGAAGATCCCACATAAGAAACTGTAATAATCCCATGATGTATATGGAAGTTATCTCATGCTTTCAAAATGTCCCAGAACTTTATCTGCAACCCGGTGTATTTTTTATGCAAGTGATTTGATGCCTCAGTTTGATACTTAAATTGAATTTAGTTTTCTTTACAATTCACCTTTGCCACATTCTCCGAACCATAGTGAATTACCGCAGCTATGCTGACAAGATTTTAGAGCTTCACAGGAGATCTTGGGGAGATGGAGGCAATTCTACCTAGTTTATGAAACCAGCACTTATTTTTGTGCCCAAGATCGTATTAGGTATCTTCATTTGAGGTCATGACTGTCATCTACTGGAGACTAACCGTCTACAGGCGATTATTTACAACGTGGAACATCAACGTGGCATATGGAAATTCACAGAAATTTTTGAGAGCACCAAATTTCTTACCTAGAGTAAATATTTTTTTTCCTGACTACTGTCATCTCTAGAATAAACCTTGATAACCGAACAATATGAATACGATGTGGCGGTGGCTTAACGCTTACTGTATTTGAGATCTCTTTGATTTTACTGTCTGTTGAGGAACTGTTATTTCCATATATTCTGCTTCTGTTGATTTTATAAATCTTTATTATTATGGCTAACGTTTCGACAACTTCCTCTCCACAAATCCACGATGATTGGTTATTTCTCTGGGGTAGAACATAAACAGTAACATCTCATATTAGTAACGAAACATGCTCTCTATACTCAAATACACATAGCAGAAAAAAGCTTATCTAGGAAACTAATTTAAATCCATTTCAACTATACATATAATGAAAATATATTATCTTGTAGCGTAGAGAGAGCGATGTGCAATGGGCGTCAGTAGTGTAACGGAAAGAGCACGCATTCCCGGAAAGAGTGAGGTGCGCGTTCTA